TAATTGGACAATTCACTTAAAAGCTATTTCATGGACAGGTGTGGGCAATTTCTTCATTCTTTCATTATCAATTAAGCAGATAAAAGGCCTGGAGTTGACTTGAGGTGTCTTGTTTGCATTTTGAAGATTGAGGCGTGAACATAATATATAACTCAGCATGCAGGTGAAACAGACCATCCTTATGCTACAAAAACAGAAAAAAACAATTCGAGCAATTGCCACAACATTAGGAGTGGCAAAATCCACAGTTTGGTACATCCTGAGAAAGAAAGAAAGAACTGGTGAACTCAGCAATGCAAAAAGGCCTGGACGTCCAAGGACGACAACAGTGGTGGATGATCGCAGAATCATTTCCATGATGAAGAGAAACCCCTTCGTAACAGCCAACCAAGTGAACAACACTCTCCAGGAGGCAGGCGTATCAATATCCAAGTTTACCATAAAGAGAAGACTGCATGAAAGCAAATACAGAGGGTTCACTGCAAGATGCAAGCCACTCATAAGCCTTAAGAATAGAAAGGCTAGATTGGACTTTGTATAAAAACATCTAAAAAAACCAGCACAATTCTGGAACTTGGAGAGAAAAAAGTATGGAGAAGGTCTGGAACAGCTTATGATCCAAAGAACACAGCATCACCTGTAAAACATGGTGGAGGCAGTGTGATGGCCTGGGCGTGCATGGCTGCCAGTGGCACTGGGACTTTAGTGTTTCTTGATGATGTGACAGGATGGAAACAGCCGAATGAATGCTGAGGTGTTCAGAGACATCACAGTCATGTCTGCTCAAATCCAGCCAAATTGATTGGACAGTGTTTCATAACACAGATGGAAAATGACCCAAAACACACAGCAAAAGCAACCCAGGACTTTATTAAAGCAAAGAAGTGGAATATTCTCAAATGACCAAGTCAGTCACCTGATCTCAACCCCATTGATCATGCATTTCACTTGCTAAAGACTAAACTACAGACAGAAAGACCCTCAAACGAACAGCAACTGAAAGCTGCTGCAGTAAAGGCCTGGCAGAGCATTAAAAAGGAGGAAACCCAGCGTCTGGTTATGTCCATGAGTTCAAGACTTCAGGCAGTCATTGTCAGGCAGACTTGAACATTTTATTTGCAGTTATATTAATTTGTCCAATTACTTATGAGCCCCTGAAAGGAGGGGATTGTGTAGAACAATTACTTTAGTCATGCAATGTTTTTGTTCTACCCGCTGAATTAAAGCTGAAGGTCTGCACTGTACATCTAACTGTGAGGGCTGGGTCCTTGAAATTTTGTTAAAATAATCCAATATACCTTTAATATCATTGACTATAAATAGGCCTACTTGCAGAAGTTCACCTCACTCCTCATGGACCTGCAATTAAACAGAGTGTCACTGTTTGTCGTGCACGCCGACCGGGGAAGCGGGGAACGAGGGATTTATTATAGGAAAACGCAAGGCAACGCACATGATTGACGCAAGACTTCAATGACCGGACTAGGAAAAACATACCTAACGCACACTTAAATACATTGGACTAATGACAACAATCAGAAACAGCTGGTAAACACTGGGAATCCACACGGGGTTAACGAGGGGGCGTGGCATACGGAAGGAGCGGACGATCGTTACAGTGTTACAGTCACTGGTGTTACACTGTATCTGTGACCACAGTGACTAATGTTAATGTCATGAATAATCAGACCACTTAAAAGCTAAATAATATGGAAATTATATGTTTGTTTAAATCTCGACTTCTATAATGGAAATTGTCCATGTTTTAACTATTAATTAGGAATCCGTCGCTAAACCCGCTTTCTATAGCCCCTTATATGTTGTATATTTTTGTACGTGTTATAACACAGTTTTCATTTAAGTTACCAATCAGCCACTTAACCATGACTTAAGCGATTTGCATTTGATCAGAGAAACACAGCCATGCGATCCACCCTTCGCCGTAATTCAGGTGTGTTGGGCGTGTTTCAGCTCCAGGTGTAAACTGAAAGTAAAAGATGGCCAGAAAATGGAATTTCGTGTAGGGATGTAACTGCGTTAATAAAAGCGCATATAGTCTGTTTATAAAAACGAAAATATACAGCAAAAATTGTTCTTGTCTTATAGAAACAGTTCTTTGTACAAGACTAAAGGTGGCGATGCAGATCAATACTTTTTGCGCTATTTTGATGGTGTTGAAGTTTGTCATTAACTCTGATAGTATGTACATTTTGAAGACAGTTTTACGTGTCTGGTAACTCGTATAGCCTAATAATGTTGAAGAAATTTAATTGAGTTGTTCTTGTTTTGGGTGTACTAATTATTATACAAATATTTACTTACCAAATATTCAAGTAACTGCGTTGCAATGTATGTTCTGCGCTTATTATTTAATGCTTATGAAGTCATTTTATATCTCTTATCCCTATGGTAGGTTTCCTGCTACACGGCTCTGCTGGTCCTCTAACAGCCCGGCTGGGAGGAGCTGTACTGCTGCCCTGCTTTGTGGACAGACCCCTGCCTTTGGAGGAGCTGGAGGTGGACTGGAGAAGGACTGATTCAGACACCATCGTAAACCTATTCCAGGGGGGTCAGAGCAGACCTGAATCACAGGGGGACGCCTACAGGGACAGAGCCCACTTCTTCTCTCAGGAAATCCCCAAAGGCAACTTCTCTCTGCTGCTTGACGGTGTGAGGACTGCAGATGCAGGAGTGTACAAGTGTGTGGCTTATACAGAGCAGGAGCACCATGAAACACGGGTGGAAATACAGGAAGCAGGCAAGTGAGCCTTTCTCATTTATGGCTTATGACACATGGACCCAGGGGCGTAGGTTTCTTATTAACACTGGGGGAGGCGAGTATGTCAGGGTGAGAGGTGTGACGTCACCGTGTGGCGCTGTTTTTCGCTCGTTTTTTATTCATACGTTATTGCTGCTTCATGCAGTCACAATATGTAAAGTGATATTATTCTTTCCATTTTTATTTATATTAATCTTTACCTATATGGTAGTTCAAGTGCGGTAATGTCCGGCATTATATACGCTGAATTTGTAACAATTATTAAAATCACGCACAAATCACGAGATTCTGCCACGAATGTCAGGCCATGTATTATGGAAAAATTACCTCAGCTCAGGGTCCACTGTGATGAACCTGTCACTCTCTTGCACCCTGTCTTCTCTCACCAACAATAAATGCCAGGTCTACCCCCCCCCCCTTTTACGGGCTTCTTAAGCATTACGGCAAACACAGTTGGATGAGAATTGCAGGGTTGCCAACTTTGGTCAGCTGGGCCCTACTACTAGGGTTGTAACAGTATGAGATTTTCAGGTCGCGACAAGTCTGCACACACATGCACACGCATTTTTGTAGAGTTTGCAAACTGCCCCACCGCTTTTAATGTAAAGTAGCTAATTTTAGGTTTACAATGGAATAATAGATTTGCTGTAAGATTTATTAAGTGAGAGTCCTGCGTGATTCTGAAAGTTTGAGAGTCACGGCACATGCGTGACAGTTGGCAACCATGGAATTGTGAATGCTATTACTGTAACTAACCAGGCTATTTGCAGCTTGTACAGGCAAATAACAAGACAATCTTTATAAAACTGATCGACAAGAAACTATTACATTCCACCATTTGAGATAGTCTTTTGGTAATTACCCGTTGATTATAATGAGCTAAGTTAACAGACAAAGCCGTTCAGTGCATTTCCACTCGCCGCTCTGTATGTTCCCAGATAGCAAAATCTTTCTGGCCCGGATGTGCCCCACATCCGCATGCTATCTGGGTTGTCAACTCTCTCTTCGCTCGACGAGGCTGAAGTTGGCTCCATATTCTCCTTATTCTGATTTTCCGGTCCACCTTAAATGCTGCGCAGCCGAATGCAATGACGCGATTGCGCCTGTAGGGGGACGCATTAAGCGAGGCTTACCTTCAGAACTAAATTTGGCTTTCGATCCGTATTAACAGAACACGATTCTGCTGACCTGTTACCACTTTGAAGAAAGTACATATCTGGGCAGTCTCAGTAATAGTATGTGTGTACTTCATCAGAAAATGAGCCAGTCGAGCTCATAGGACTTGATGTTTATTAAAATGTTAGAAACTATGACTGCATGAGGAAGGTACGGGTAAGGTGGCACCTCTCTGGTGGCGTCGGAAAGAAAACCAGGGAAAGCAGATGCAGTTCCAGACTTTACTGCATTCAATTAGGCAGTACAGCATTGCACTGGAGTTAACACAGGCTGGCCATTGGCTGTTACAGGTGCAATGACTTAGTTGTAGACAGGGTGTGCATGTGGTCTAAGGAAGGAACTAATATTATATAAATAACTAAAACAATAAGAACATGGAGACATGTTCAGCTAAATAACACAAATACAAGCACTTTATACGATCTCTAATCATCAATCATAACAGTACTACCATCTACTGGTTAACCTCGGTACATACCGAATGTACGTAACAGTAATACTACTACTAGGGTTGTAACAGTATGAGATTTTCACGGTATGATAATCGTCTCAGAAAATATCACGGTTTCGCGGTTTCGTGGTATACGGTATTAAACTATCATTATTATTATTATAATCATCAGCTACAATGACCCTTCAATGAATAAAAAGAAATATGGTTTTTGGTTGAACATGGTTTATTGTAACAAACTTTTTTTTAATGAAAATAAAAAAAACTTATGGAAGTATGAGTCTAACTTTTGGGGGAAAAATAAATAAAATAAAGCTGCTCACCTCCCATTTGAACAAAATAAGGAATAAGTTATTTCTCTTTATATTAGACAAGAATAAATCAAATTGTCCTTCCTCTTTAACAGCATATATGGGAGAGCAATATGTGCAGGTCATTGTTTGTTAATATTTTCCTGAGATTATCATAGCAGCATGCATTTCTTTGCTTTTTTCAGGTCAGGTTATGATGAAGAAATGTAAGCATGTTGAGATTTTCAGGGCTCAATCTTGACCGCTGAGGTGAGAGAATGTGTCCACTTGTACTAAGCACCTATGAGTTTTCAGTTAGTGTATTTGATGATTATTCTTTTAAATAAAATTATAAAATGATCATTAAGTGTTC